TGCTTACCATCACGTTATAACGTTACCAACACCAGTAAACTCAACAGACATTAAGCAGCTTCTTTTGTGTTTCGCCAAAGGAAAGTGAAACGAAGCTGGAGCTGATGAAAATACTTTTCCTGGAAAAGTGGTAGGTGTGCCTACATACCAGTTATGTATGGTAACTATTTCCAATCTCTCCTCAACACAATTGGTAATTAACTCCATAAAAATCTGGACCCAAATTAGTAAAAGCTTTGGCCTCCATAGGGGTTCAGACCTCTCCCCAATTATTAACAATCATCTCTTTCTGCCCTCCTGTTCCTGCTGCCTGACGATTTCTGGCAAGAGTTTCTAAGCATGGTTCACTCCTTTTCAATCTGTGTACAGGTATAGCCTCATACAGTGTGAAGTTATACACAAAGCCTTCTACGCTAACTTGAGGCTGTCCCAGATTTACCCCAATGTAACTGATTTGTGTAATAGGCGTTGGCCATTGCTGGCTGACCACTCCTACATGTTTTGGTTCTGTCCCAGGCTTACTACATCCTGGTCTGAAATCTTCAAAACTCTTAGCACAGCATACAATACTACTATCACTCCCGAACCTCTCTTAGCTTTGTTTGGTGTCCACGGTTTTTAACTCTGAAATAATACAGACTGTTCTAGCCTTCATCACCCTGCCGACGAGGAGACTAATACTTCTTAAGTGGAAACACCCTCATCCCCCATCTTATAACAGATGTGTGAGGTGTTACAGACAATTAAGCTTGAAAAGTTGAGATTTTTCTTATATTTTCTGTTACAATAATACAGGGGATGGTTATGATGGATGATGGATCATTCACAATGAGAAAAGTTAGAAATTTTGTGGTGTGTATTTTTTTGTGTGCATTTAATATAAGGTCACAGAATGCTACACTGTTTTTTCACTTCTGCAAAGTAATTTAAACCACTGCATGAGCACTAAACTCTATACACCATCCCTTCTAGGCTAACTCTCTCACACACCCTGTGCTATTTTTAATGATGACCAGAGTCATCTTGAAAACAAGCTGCACTTTCTTAAAGAAACAGACAATGTTTTGAATGGCTTTATAGCACTAGTCAAGAACTATTTATCTCAGACATGGCCAAGCAAAAAAGGTAGATAGATAATATCACCTCTTTTTCATGCAAATAAGTCCATGACTTATTTGAAACACATGCAATAGGAGGGCGAATGGACCAACCGTTATTTCAAAGTGACATGTAAAATTAGGGTTACATTTTTGTGATTCTTCATTAGTTCTAGAGGTATAATTAGAGCAAAGATGTGAGACATTGGGCTGTTAATTTGTTTTTCATTTTTTTCTAAATAAAATAAAGTCCACATTTATGGGGTACTTGAATACTAATACATCTTATTAACTGAACTTTCGAACATGGCGACATCATGCTACAGTTAAATGACAATGGCTTGACTTGGCTCGACTCTGGTAGTTTTCTTTTGTGTTTTTTTTTGCATTTCATTCAGGGACTGATGCTTCTAACAGTTGCAATTTTGGGACTGACTCGACCAGAATACCTATGCGATTTTGAGTAAGGCTGCAGGCCTCTGATGGGCCAGAAAGTCATAAAACTGAGGGAGGCCACAAATCAACTCATTAGACTCATTAGAAATTTTAAAAGACCTCAACAACAAAGCAATATCCCCCACCCCACCCCTGACAACAAATAAATGGTATACAAAATGGACGGATGGACAACATACATTCACCCCATATGCAACGCTGCCCTCGTGTGTTGAAACTGCATATTATAAGGACGTGTAAAAAAAAGTGCATTCCAAACAGAAACTGTCTCCTATACTCTGTACACAATTACTAAGCTCTGTTTTTACATCACATGAGAAAGACAACAAAAACAGAGTTCCCCAAAACCCTTTTGGTTTGTGTTTGCATGGGCAAAAACATCACTGTGTCACTCTTAATATAGATTTCATTGTATCAAAACTTTTAGAAACTAGTACTGTGCACTTTATCTAATGGCTGATTGTGACAAATGAGGAGGAGGAGACCATTGTAGACCCGCAGGGTTAGGATGGTTCTTCTTGGACCCCCTGGTGTGGGAAAATCCAGACTTGGAGATTTAGCAAGGATCAATTCAGTAATACATAACCAACTCTAGTCTGTGAGTTCATGACACTTTTGACTGCAGTAATCATTGGTCACACAAGATGGACCAGGTGCATTCCAGATGATAGGGGCATAAAAGGGGTGTTCATAAAAACAAAAAACTAAGGTTTATAGAACTAAGCGTAGACTTAGCGAGTCTCTGCAATGGTAAGTTTGATATAATGAAGATAAATAAGTCTTCTATCTACACAAACTATCCTAAACACAAAAAAAATCACAGGTTACAAATAATTTAGAAATGTCATTGATCTATTTCACACATGATGGACAGTCTAGGAAATTACAGGGGTTTATCTTTCACAGAGACATCCGCTCTGACACCAGATAAAGTCAGTGAGCTGCTGATACCGTGGGTAAGTTTTTAAAAAACTGATCAGATTCCAAAGTGGCTATGTTTAAAGGTGTTTAAATGCTTGACCGGAATCACTGTTTCATGTCATGTTAAAGTGAAACGGCTCATGCGCCACTAGAGGACACTATCACACAGTTATCGAAAGTATAACACCTTCAAGGTTCTGTTTAACACAGTTGTGAATGTGAGATCTTTGGAAACTACAATTTATTCAGCCTACAACGTGTAGGAGTGTACTATTCTCAGAGCAAAAGGAAACACAGCCTGTAGATCTGCAACATAAAGTAATATAAATATTTTTTCAATCCTTTTGGGCCCTGATCTTTGTTATTAAAATTATTCTTGGATGTTTATTTATGTTTACAATGATATGTTTTGCTTTAGTTCTTTTAAGCCGAGTTACAAAATGTCTCTTAACTGTGTGTGCAACCAAACTAAATCGCAAACACAAGGAAAAACTTGCTGGAACCCATTCCACTAAACAGGTTTTACAATTTCAGTAAACTCAGAGCTGAGGAATGCAGAAGTGTGAAAAGTAAAAACTTGGTTTTCAGCTGGAGAACATCTTAATTGATGTAAAATGCCCCGGTCTTTGCAGGCTCATTGTCAGTTGAGCTTGTTTAAAAGTACTATAGAAATTGAGCTCAAGTACTAGCTATGGCTAACTTCAGATAAGACGTAAATAAACAATAATAATTAACTCACCTGAATACCTTAAATAAATACCTCAAACTTTTTAACACTCCTCAGGCATATACTTGTTTGAGCATTTGTGTGTGCAGCTAGAACTTCCATATAAAGCAACATTTTTCCCCTGCAGTTAGTTGCTCTTTGCACAACATTTCTTTTTTTTTTGTTTGATGTGCACAGCTGTTGTGCCTGAGTGGGGATTTTGAGTGCTTTGTAATGTGAAACCTGGCCAAGCTCTGGCAAAGAGACTTAATTCCACTAATTTCAGCCAAGTTTATGCGGGGTTCCAGTGGGGCTACTGGTACACCCCCGTCACAGAAACAAAGAAATGCCCCATGCTGAATAAATGGAATACGGTAAACAAAAATGTAATGATTTAGATTTTATTAAAATGTGTAAATCTTTTTAATCCCATGCATTTCTTTTTGAAAACTACCACACTATCAAATCTGTTTATGAATGATCTAAAAGAAAATGCAAAGTTCTCAGTTTGCATGGAACTGAAGTTTTTCATTTTTTGTGCAAAGAATTGTTGGATCATACTTTGAAGAATAAAATGTTTCTGTTGCCCAAAGTAATTGGGTAAACTGCTGTCTAACTGGCTGAAGAATAAGTGTACCTATGCTTTGTTATCCCTTTTATTGACTGCTTCAGTTACATTTGAAAGGAATAATGTACAAAACTGTTGAGACTGTATTAAATCATATACATGCATTATTGGAGTTAATCAAAATTAAATTTTTATTTACACAGTACAGATCCAGTTTTATAGCACTTTACTTTTTTTTGCCTGTTTATTGTTGCCCTAATTTTTAGGTGAAGCACCATCTCCTAAAGCTTTGGAAGTGAGAATGTTAATTGTTTCAGCATGGATGCTGTCTAGTTAAAGAGGAAATAAGGAAGAACAGAGCTCTTCCCATGGATGAACAAAGCAACAAAAACCTTTTACTGCAAGTACCATAAAATCTGACTCATATCCTCCACACAGACACCAGACCGTTCAGCTGCCCTTTGTGTGTATTATACAGGCATCTGCATTAGTTTTGCTTTTCCGCTGTGCATGTTTAAAGTGTCTGTTTAAAATCAGACTTTGTAGGCTAATTCTAATCATCTTAAAATCCAAAATCAAAATCTTTGTAGACTCCGGGGTGTGCGCCTTTTGGATATGAAGTTGCTCCACTGTTGCTGAAGGGCCCGGACTTAGTGGATATCTGGTGTATGGTGGGTCTGCCCTCTCTGGATGGGAGGGTGGGAAGGTGCTATCCCCCCAGGTCTACATCCCCTTTCCCCTCTCCCCTCTGCTCCAGTACATAGAACGCACTCATACATGTAGGGTATTGGGGGCTTTTTGGAATCTGTGGGGTGAATTTAGGGTACCACCAAGGTTGTCAACTTTTCTGTGCCCTGAGTTTTAATGGCATCTTGGACATTACTACCTTCTGCAAACAGTAAAGGACCTGAAATGTCTCACGGAGAAGAGATGGCTCTTGCTTTCCTGTATGCTGCTTCTATGTTGGCAGACAACTCCAGTTTGTTATCTGGGAACACCCACAGTTATTTGCAGGTATGAACAATTTCTTTCATCAATGCAGACTAATAGGTTGGGAGTTTTAGATCTCCCAAAGTCCAGCAGTTTTTTGGCCCTGGCCATGTTCAGAAGGAGACAGTTCTTTTCGGTTCACCAATTAAAAAACCCCACAAGGTACCTGTATTCCCCATCCTTTCCATCATGCACACATGCCACAATATATGTATCATCAGAATACTTCAGTACAGATGAAGTAATGACTGCAGATTACAAAGCATCCAAGCATAAGTTTAAAGAAATATTTCAATGAGGGATTCTTTATTTGTGAGAAAATTGTGCATAAAGCAAAAGCTTCCAGAAACAAAGACAGTAAAACTCTTCATATTAAAGACAGGCATAAATCCACAAATGAAGAAGAGATGTTTGTGCTTGATCTGCAGTCGCCCTTAAAATGGATTAAACTCACCACTAGGTGGTGATCATCAGACAGTTTTACCTGTCTTGACCCATGTGTTAAAAACAGAGAGCTGCAGGTCCAGTGACAGGGCTGCAAAATTAGTCATCATGACCTTCGGCCTATAGGTGGCCCAGCACCGGGAAAGTTCAATAACTAGCACAGATGTCACCACAGCACTTGAACTTGAAAAATGACACGTGTTCAAATAGCCGCTTGTTGAAGATTCATTTGTACTTTCAGATATTCAAGCCAATAGTCAATAATATGACATGATTAACAAACTTATCACATATATCTTTTGATCTTGAACTAAAATACGATATGTTCAGTCATCTAAATAAATACATATGCTCACAAGAATTTCAATAAAATTTTAGACCTGCTTTTTTCTCATTCAGAAACTGTTTTTCTTAGGCCATTTTAGAGAATCCATATTGTGAAACTAGTAACATATTAAAAGATTACAAATTGTAAAAAAAACAAAAAACAAAAAAAAAATTGGGGACACAATATGTACAAATTGTTGCAATAAATGTTTTCAACCATTTTGCATTCATGTTTGAAAATGTTGGATTGATCCATTTTATTGCATGTTTATGTCTGCAAATCATAGATTTACCATCATATGTAGTAGAATTAGTGTAAATCACATATAGTATGAATATAGTTTGGATTAGAGTAACAGTTTATTAAATCCACACATTTTAACTTAAGCAATCCCAGTCTCATTGACTCTTCTGTGAGTAGACCTGAGACTCTGGTGTATTCCAAATCATAAAGCGAATATAATCGTTGAAGAGAAAAATGTCCTTATCACATAACACTTAACCTCCTCCTCATGAGCCCTGCATCATTATTGGTTTCTGCAAGAGAAGAGAGACATTTATGCATGTCAGGCTTACTTAAAAAATGTCAACCAAAATAACTGTCATGCTCTGAAAAAGTAAAGAAAATCACAACTCCATCACACCCTTCAAAAAAGGCAAACATTTTAGTGACAAAAACAGGTCAAATCTGTAGATAATTTGTCATCAAAGTGTTCTGAAAGATCACATGGGCAAAATAAAAGTTAATCGGCAAAATTTCTGACAGATTATGAATCAAAACACAATTACAGTCTGGATTGAAAAAGTATGTGGCATCACAACTAATCGACCTCCAAAACACACCTGACAGTAATGGCAGCCAGAGTGCGACCTCTACCACCGGGGGCATACAAACAACAAATTCATGTTTACAACTCCTGCAGTGTTTTAAAAAAGATCTCACACAATACAGAAAGCTGATTTTCACATCGGAATCCTATTTCCCAAGTTTCATGTATAAAATATCAATAGCTTTATGCTCTTGGGAAAATATTTGTTTTCCAGTTTTTGTTTCTCTAATTATAAATGGCAATTAGGAAACAAGTAATTTATGTGTTCTCATTTCTAAACTCAAGTTTGATGCCCACACAGTACATGAACCACAAAGCCTACACTCAGTGTTTCCACATTTTGTGGCTAAGCAACAGCAAGCCACACTGTTATATTTTCAAATGATTCACAGGCCCCAAATGACCGCTGGTTGCTGTATAAGAAATGTTTATATTTGTAACATTTGCAGTTGTTCAAAAAAGATTCACATCACACACTTACTCTTAATGTGCTTATTGCTCATTGTTTTACGAGGATAGAGAAGCAAGTATCCTATTTTTAAATGTGACTTTAAGGTCAAGCTCTTAGGTCATCACATCTTGCAATTTCTTGACTGTGACTATCAGGACATTTCCTGGTAAGTGACAGAAAGCCAGGAGATTAGGCTCTGCTGACAGTAGTCTGAGGTCAGAAAACCATCTAGTGGATAACTGGGTAAGATGTTTCTCTCCGGACACATGGCAAAAGGGAATTCCAGCTGGCGGAAATGATGATGCAGCCAGGGAGGAATGGATAACAGTTCAGAGAACAGGGCAGACACAGAAGGAGTGAGAACATTTGCACAGGGGATAGTGTTCCCATACATGGCTTGACATTTGCATATGTTTCTTTGGCAAAAACTGTTTCTCTAATTCTCAGGCTAAGTTTTTAAGTTTACAAAAAACTGTGAACACTAATTATTGCTTAATACTTGCTTAGAAATCCCCCCAAGAAAAAAAAAATCGTCTCTCCTCAGGTATTAGCACTTACTTATGGCACAAAATAAATAGAATTCTGATAAACAAAACCTTTCCAATAATCATAGACCAAGCATCAAACTTGCATTTGGAAATTCTCTATGAACAGAATCTGTTATTCCTAACAGGGAAAATTAAAGCCATAGCAGCGTTCTCCACACTATAAAAAGGATCATTATGTTCTCTGTGTTTAACAAGGTTAAAGTGTTGAGTCACTTGGAAAGACCCAAAGCAGAAATCTCAAGGGAAGCAGTGTTGGGTCTTACTGGTGGGAAAGTTGTGGGAGAGTCTTCTTGCTTGGCTTGGAACAGCTGACTGTTGAACACCAAAAGCAGTAGACAAGAAGGAAGAGAGAAAATCCAAATATCAGAATAAAGCAAAACATATGATTCACAAATTGTACTTTCTTGCAAACATTTGTCAGAGGAAGACGTGCTAAGAAGACTTGAATAATCTTTAATATATATTTTAAAAAGAGAGAGTTGAGCCACAATCTAAATGTCATGTTTAATTAACATTGGCAGCTCACAGTTGACCTGACATTCAAGCAGAAATTGATTAACATTACCCTTCTTCTTTTCTCCATGGGTGTTCCTGCTGCATTCAAGGCAGCAATCCTGTTTTCTATGTAAAACACCTGATAATTAAAAATAAATACAGAAAAAGAAAAAATATGTAAATATATAGTAATATATTATTATTATTTTTTATTTATTTAATTATTTATATCTATATATATAGAATTCTTCCAAAGTCTGTTTTGTACTTACCTCACTCTGAGCATTTTGGACATTAGCAGCTGCTTCAGCTACCTTGTCTTCCAGTTCAACAAGTAAGGCCGTCGAGCCTGTAAAGCTTGAAATCGATGGCTCCTGTTTTAGGTGTTCCTTGCTCCCCAGAAGTTCTAATGGACTGTCGAACTGCAAATCAAAAAGGGAGAGTTTCATGCCAGATATGACGAACAATTTATGACCGTCCTTAAAGTTTGTCATTGACAATGTGTAAAACAGGAGGCCAGACCCTGTCAACATGTTTGTTAAAATGAGCAAGACTGATAGAAGTCCTAAAACTATTTAGGGTGAGTAGATTAATCTATACTTAAGAGAAAACAGACAAACTGTTGGTCATTTGATGTGGGGTACTTGTGAAAAAAGAAATGTATTTTAGTGTTTTTAGTTAAAAAGGTCTGATACGTTTAGTTTTCAGTGGTGAAATGTTTGGGCTCTTCGCCCTGCCGTCACTTGGACACAACAACAAAAATGTATCATATCCATCAACAAATGGGTGATTTGAAAGACTGAAAGTCATGATGACAGGCAAAGTTTTACCTTACTTGTATTACAAAAGACAAACTGCTCATCTAAACATCAGATCGACAATTTTGGTCCTTAGTTTATTCTCCTGCTATGACAAGCTAGTTCTATATGCTTAAAATCAGCAGAGGACATTACAGGCATGTAATTATCAAGTGTAAAACATACATACTGACACGCCAGAGAATCATATCTTAATCGGAAAAATATTCTTGTCAAAACATTACAGGCACAGTAACACAGTGACTAAACATGATTTAGTTTTAAAATCTACAAAGAAAATGTGGGAGTCATCGTCATGGTTGCAGAGATAAAATAAACACCAGGTCTAAGAGACTTGATTTATGACTGAATTCCAGCAGTGGCAGTGTGGAATTTCATGAGCCATAATTTTTAAGTTTAAAAAAGCTTTGAGTGAGTCCAGATTTAGGTGAAGGCCAAAGGTTTACAGAAAATACTTTTTTTTACAGTAGAAAATTGATGAATGCATGTATGATTACATAATTCAGCCTTTTCCATATCTGCTGGAGTAATCTTTACCTTTTGAGGATATATCTGGAGAAGCATCTCACCCTCAATTCTGGAGTTGAAAGTGCTGGCTCTGGTAGGTATTCTAGAGGGTTTGGAATCCCCTTGTGAGCTGCTTCTCCATCCACTGACCTCTTCGGAAGGATATGCCCCATTTGGTTCATCCTCATCAGATGTTAAACTATGATCACTGATGTTATCTGTCATCTTGTGCAGCTTCTGTCTGAGCTGCTGTTCTTCTAAATCGACTTCCTCCCACTGAGAAGGAGATGCACTGGAGGCAGTTGGAATCTGCTGGCCATTTAGGAACAAATCAGAGATAATATGGTTGCAGAAACTGATTGCAGAAAACATTGCAGTTTTTTAAAACTAAACAGCAGCCAGCAAGAAGTATTGACAGTGAGTTCCTACTTAGTTTTCACTAGCATTATGTGTGAGGTCTGATGGTAGTTACTAGACATCATACATTTACCTCATCATTTGTTGGGGTGACCTTCTGCTCTAAGCGGTTAAGAAGGGTCTCAATGACCGACATTCTCATGTTCAAGTCCATAATCTAGAGGTGTAAAAATCAAAGACAGCAGTTAGATGACGAAAACATGTGACACAAAGGGTTAGAAGTACTGTACACTGGACACACACACACACACACACACACACACACACACACACACACACACACACATATATATATACGTGTGTGTGTGTGTGTGTTTGTGTGTGTGTGTGTATATATATATATATGTAGGTATAAATCGGATGTGCTCAAGCAAGGAAACTTTGAAAACATGCAGGGCAGCGTGCTTCGAGGACCAGAGCTGGGAAACACTAATACAAAAACCTTTGTTTAACTTTAACCACTCTGTATGTATAGATTTGTGGTTGTTCACTTACCTCGATGTCTTATTCAACAAACATTTTGAAAGAGGCAACAGCTATGTTTAGCTCATGTGCAGTCAAGGAGAAATGTCACAGCTGTTTTTAATGTCTGATAAGTGGTTGCCTGGACTGTCTGTTTTCCACCACTAGGCTGTTTGTGTCTATCCGGTGTTGCCCCAGATTAGAGATCAGCAAACGGAGTATCAGGTGGATATAGGAACTTATATTCTTTAGGGCTGCTGTCTACATGTGAGTTTGATTTAAATGTCCCCATAATGAAGCCTTTTTTAATGCAAATGTTAGAGATACACAGTTGTATCCAGACAGTTTGAGTTACTTTGAAACAAATTTATATTTAGAGAACACATGTGTTTACATTCTGACTTAACTAAGATGAGCTGCCTGCAAACAAACCATAAGAAGCCTATATTTATCTGCTTCTCATGTGTGGAGGAGCAAGTCACTGTGAGTCTGAGATGGAACTGCCAGTAAACATAAATAGACACTGATGTAATGCATGTTACCTCCCTCTGAACTAGCAGCTCTTTCCACTACATTGCTGAAAGTGTAAGCACAGTCATCTTCTTTGTTTTTTGTGTGTTGTGACTCTACTTGCTGTAATTAGGGGTTTTGAATATCAAATGGAAAAGAAGGGGATTTACATGATTGGTTGTTTTTCTTCAGAATTGTAGTTTCAATGAAAGAAAAAGTTCAGTGAAAACAAAGTGTTCAAATAATAAATTTGTACATTGCACCCACTATCTGTAATTTTAAGTAATTCATCTTTTCAGCCTCTCCTTCCTGTAAGGTTTCATGTTGGTCCTTCATGACCCAGCTAATTTAAATAATAATAAGCATTCAAATTACTCCTTTAAATGAGAACCCAAAATCATTCACTATTGTTTGAGTGTGATCCAGATACATACCAACATGTGACTATAAACAAGTCCTCTGTCTTCTGGATGCAAAACCCAAAATAGCAACAGCCAAGCATTCAACTCATTCAACTTAATTTTTAAGTGAAGCCACATGAGTGTGTGTATGTACATATACACAAACACACACTAACACACACACCCACACACCCACACATTTATATGTAAATATAATATATATAACTGCATGTACATAGCCAAACAGAGAACAAATTAGAAAGCATTAAACCTGTGATGGAGTAGTCAATAAATTCAGGTTCTCAAGAGATGATATGATGCAGGGGCCTGGATGAGACTGGTAGTGATCATCTTCTGCTTCTGAGTGATCATGACTGGGTAGGTAGCTGCTGCATATTCGAGCACCTCCAGCACTCCCGCTGCCACATGAGGAGTAACTGAGCCGTGAGATGGACCGAGATGAGACTGTCCGGTTCTCTACATATGCAAGGTCATCTGGAAAAACAGCATAAATGGTAAAAAGGTTTAATTCAATGTCTTTGAAAATATCTGTAATGACCTAAATGTTTTCATTTCCATGAACCACAGCTGTGGTGTTGAGCTGAAATTAGTGGTCAGCCAAACTTTTATTCTCATGAAAGAAATACTAGTGTCATGGTATCTATAACTCAGTGCCTTTAAGTAAAAAATGCAGCCATGTGTTTTGATCAAATTTTATGGTTACATGCAGTATCCCATCCTTATCAAAGATTTGTATACATTCTTTAAAATTGATATATTTTACTTTTTAAGTTGCTTTGGATAAAAGCCTCTGCAAGATTGTCTTACATTTCTATTTTTTCCTTTGAATTGAATTGATCGTGTTCAACAGTTTGAGGTTTATACTGTTAATTCAGGGTAAACCACATATTTTAGGTAAGGTACAGATCTGGTATTATTGTAATAATATAACCACAGAACTTACATGAAAAGACACTGCCTTAACATATTTTAAACCAAAATTCCAATATATGCCTCCGCATCAGTGGAACCCTCACAAATATCCCTGCTATAATAAATACTTACACACTCCAATACCAAAACCTCACAGACTAAATAAAACTATGAAACAATATTGATATGGAAACTGTAAATTGTGTGTTTAAAACATTCAAGTCCCCAGGGGATCCAGGACCTCTCTGCGTGGAGTTTGCATATTCTCCCTGTATCTGAATGGGTTCTCTATGGGTAATCCAGCTTCCTTTCACCGTCCAAAAACATGCATGTTAGGTTGATTGGACATTCCAAATTTCCCCAAGGAGTGAATGTGAGTGTGCATGGTTGTTCATGATTATGTTTCTCTATGTGGCCCTGCGATGGACTCGTGGACCGTCCAGGGTGTACCCTGCCTGTCACCCATTGTATACTGTGATAGGCTTAAAATCCCCCAGACTCCATGGGAGTGAGCTGTGCAGTAAATGGATGGATGGATGGATGGATGTTTAAAACAAATACTTTTATAAATCCTTATTAGCACAAACAAAGCTTAATGAGTTATCTGTGAAGATTTGCAGTCATCCAGGTCATGGTCAAGCTTGAAAATTCAGTTTGTGCAACTGGATGTGAAGTTTTCTAGAAGATGATACCTTTCTCATCCAAGAAGTTTCTTCGGTTTTGACTGATGGTGGGGAGCTTAATGAGCTGTTGCAACTGGCTGTATTTGTGCAAAACATTTTCCCAACTAGATTACTATCGGTTGAAATAATGGAAGGGGTTAAAGGCAATCAGAACACAGTAAGAGAGCATGTGACAAAAGATATTAGCTGTTTGTTTATCAGCTGACAGTTGGGATTAAAACTTGAAAGAAGTATTAACAAAATGGGAAGGTTATGAAAGGAAACCATATAGCCAAACCAAGTACAACATCTAATTATCAGACATAATTCTTACACAAGCAAATTATTCTTTGTGGATATTAGACTCTACCGTGCAGTGGAGCCATTTCAAGATCCAGACATTTGGGCTGCTCTTGGTCAGTAATGTGAAAACCATGATCCATATCACCTTCAGCAAGTAAAGAATCCCTTACGCCCATGTCAACATCTAGTCCATAGATGTTTGTTGCCTAAGGGTGAGGATGGAGAATAGTAAGTACAACTAAACATAACACCTTCTTGGAATTTAATTCACGTATTTAACACAATAATCATTTTGAAAAATATATCTATTCATAATGAGAACACTTGCAAACAAAGAAAATGTATTTAATAATAAATTAGAAACAGAAGAAGGTTAAACTAAACAAAGACAAGAAAATTACATTTGAGTTTTTTTCAATCATCTAAGCTCAAATAAAAATGACTTAATGTGACTAAATCAGATTGTACATTATAACCAAGAGTAAGCCATATTGTTATTTATCCTTGCCCCTTTCAATGAGGTCCTGTAAAACAGAATGACAGAATAACATAGTACCAGAAAGGTATAGCAAGTGATTTCTTTTCACAGCTCCCAAACATGTGCTATGTGTTACCACAATGCCTGGTTTATGAAGCCCAAGTGCACTGAATATGAGTCAAGTGCACTTAGACAGTCCACTTTGATTCAAGTTCTATCTTTGAAGCCCAAAAAACTATCCTCTCTGGATGGCTCCAGCTAAAATATTTCCCCTTGAGCCTGATACACTAGGTCCACGTGAAAGGGTAGCTAGAATGGCAACCTGGACCGGAAACACGAACTGTTTCCCTGGCAACTGTGAGATTAGCAGGGTCATTGACAGGTCATCTTCTGTTTCTGGCTGTGGGGCACAGAGTATTGTGCACTGTCAATAATGTGCTAATGCAGTCATTCTGCAGGTTTCATTGATTGTGCAGCGTGAAAAACAACTTTAAAACCTTAAAATCAGCTTAATCCTTTTCAGGTGTAGGCTGCAATTTCTTTGCAGCCCCCCTTTGTTTGTTGATGATTGCCAAAACTGGAAATTCCTGACCTCATTGAAGGTAGGGGAAGGAGGCAGCCATCTGAGGTCTTTTCAAAGGGACATTATTACTCAGCCCACATATTTTTAGGACCTCAAGGGACCGAAGGAACTGACTGAACTTTCAAAACCTTGAACATCTGGAAAGTAGGAGTTGTGTGACACTATGCACATAACTGGGGTGGCACTGTGTGTCAGCTGGTTAAATCATGTTTGCAGGCCGAGTTTTACCACTGTGTAATATGTTTTTTCCTCACATTTTGTGCATGATCATGACAACTGCACATTGGGAACAAGAGCAGAGTCACGGAGCGCTCTTTTACTACTCCGAAATGACCGATTGGTCTCCACATGGTATATAGAGAGACTCTTAAGGAATGGAAGATGTAATCTGTTATAATGGAGATATCTGTCTATGTGACTTCTAAGATGAAAGTGCTAGTTTCACCTCAAATACCTATAGAAACATATTACCTCTTCTCAAGAACTAACGAGAAAATGTATTACTGGCAACTGAGTTGTGAACCTAGGTGGTGAATAGTTAAGCTTAGTACTCAGTATTGCCTTATACATACGATGAGGGCCCAGGCACCCCTCAGGCTGCATTCCACAACTACCAACTATGGATGACTTGATGCTATTTTAGCCTCTGACAAAACAAATGTAATCACAGAGAACACCAAGGCACACACAAATGTCTTCTGGTATGTATAAAGGCATGTAAATACGTTTTGCATTTGGGGTTAGTTAAACAGTGCCTACCTGATTCTTGTGGAATTGTGAGTAGTCACAGCCGGGTATAAAATCACAGGGATCAACAATTAAACGTCTTTTGGTCTTTTTCATCTTTGGAGAACAGAAATGAAAACACCATCACCAATAGGAAAAGGAGAATAATGAGAAAAATCTACTTTAAATAACGCACTCCACACAAACTTTTCAACTGCTCTTGACAACTAAATTATTGAAGGGTTTTATTCACATTTTCTAAGAAGTAAAGAAAGTTATGGTATTTTTTTCTGATATCACATATTTTTTTCTAACATTTCAATACAATTTCATTTACACAGGTACATATGGTAATATCACTGATGATGCAACTGTTTAGTTTGTGCACCTTTATATTTCTAGAATTAAGTTGGTTTAATTTCCGAGGAGGGAGGGTTGGCTTTAACTGAAAGCAGCATGATGATAAATCACCCAATCATACAAAAACTAGTGAAGACAATTCCCAACTACCAGAAACTACCCTGACTTCACTCATTCCCTTTTAATGGTAGAAGTGTCGGCATATTCACCCATCAAGATCAATACACTGACTTGGACAACTCCGACTAAAAAAAAAGTGATTGCAGTGCACACCTGTCCCCGAGCAGTCTTCTGGTATTGCCCATGAAAAGTCTTTAAATAAATTAATCAGGAATCAGTAAACCAATCACCAGAGCATAGCATTTTTGCTGCGTCTCAAGACAGAGGCACTAAATGAAAACAAAGAAAGCTTTGCCTCTACATTACAAAGAGTTTGTGGTGAAAAAATCAACAGTGTTGGTTTTATGATGACTTCCAGTGGACTCATGCCCCTGTTTTGCAATCTAGAGACTAGAACCACAGACTGTTTCAAATGCATCAATACTCTTCTGTTAATAATATGTATAACAGTTTGGCCTTGAGTTACTTTACTATTCCAAACGTTCACTATCAACATTCCAGCTGTTACAGGAATGACCTATATATCTTACATAACCTGAACTAAAGGCACCTTGACTGCTGGCTATCTGCTTGCCCCTTGTCTTGGAAAAAAAAGCAAATGTAAATTTTTGGTATTTGTAAGTTTAGATTGAGTCAATTAAAGAAAAATACATCATCATACCCCTTTGTATTGTGAGTCTGCAGCATCCATGCTGTGCTCATATCCATCGACTGCCACGAAAGTAGAAAAAGTGTAGAAAAATTAAATGACAGAATCATTTACATTCTATGACTTCTGAAAACAATGTCATCTTATAGAAAAGTTCAACATTCAGACATAAGATTTTCAGCTCTTCTAAAACAGCAATGATATGCTTTGCATCTAAAAACTATGTTTTTTATGGAGACATTGCTTATTTTATAATCTCCAGCAAAACCAGAATCCTTTTCCTCAGTCCCCAACCCACATAAATCATACGTGGGAGCTGAGTTCATAACTTCAGGGTCTTATTGTATCATCTTAGAAGTTTAAAGGAGATAATTTAAAAGTAAAATTGAATCTCAAATCACATGGTATGTTCACAGTTAACAGAATGAATAGGTTGAGAAAACTTGATATAGCAGTACAGCTTATGAGCTATCCAATGACACCAGTGAAGATTAAGGAAGACCACACACATTGCTAGGTTAACTCTGTAAAAGGAGGTCTCAGAAGAGAAAAAGGTGCTAATTTTCCTCTTCTTTTTGTCAATCCTCACTATTTATATTTATACATTTTTACAAATGGGCTCCATTTTTTTTAGCACAATAGCTCAAATCAGCAGTTAATCGTCTTTCCAATTCCTACCTATATATTAGACATTATCTAAATAAATTCACAGTTCAACAAATTACCACTGGACAATGAAGATATAATCATAATCTAAAAATCACTATATTTCAGTTTTTACAATAACAGAACTTATCAATACTTAGCTGTTCTAACTTTCCATGCCAGTTCATTCCTGCTTGATGCTATCATGTGACATAAAATTACATAGAAATGTCAAGTTGACTTATTTTAAACATGTTTCACAGATGTTTATTTTAGAAGGCTGGCTATGGAGAACATATTTGCAAAGGAATTTCTGTTACAGTGTTGCATTTAGTTACATGGATATTAAAATTCCAATCTTTCCCATGGAATATCATGATAGGATTACCAAAGTAATCATACTGCTTGGCCACAAACTTGCAAAAAAGTAATAAATAAATGTGAAGAAATAACTGAGCCTTCCCAGTGAAAAAAATATCAGCTTGTTCTTTTTACTTACTGTGCACATCGGGCATGCTCTGTGTGTCATATTCTCGTGTGTCTAGAAAACAGAAATATTAGAAATGATATGGGTCATTTAGAATAAGATTCATATACATGATCATTTGGCATGAACATTTAAAGACCCATTCTCAATTGAGAAAATGAAAAGGGTAATTGTCTGTACTTTTTAGATCCTTAGCTGAATAAAATACTTCATTCAGTAGAGATAATACCATTTGCATGCTATTTCCACACTGTGCAAAACAGAAATAGCTATAAAGGAAATTGACAGAGCAAGAGGTAAAGCTCTCACTGAATTAAACATTTTGTTTGAACAAAAGACGCTGTTGTAAGCGCTGTCAAAGCCACTGTGCTCACAATGACACCCTCTGAGCTTTGAGGGCCTAACAGACCACAGCAAAAGACAGAGAGACAGTTAAAGAATGCATGTGTGTGTTTGGCTGTGTGTGTATGTGTTTTTGTATGTGTCTGTCTGCGTAGTCATGCATATGAGATTTATTTAAGGTCAGCATGTGTATTTTCGTATGTAATGATTTATCAGTCATTTCAAACATTGATTTATCTGTTAAAAGGTATTTTTTATGATTACCTTGCATGAAAAGTTACATCTATGACAGGCTTTTGCATTGCATTCTTTGTGCAAAACTACTTTTTCCTATTTTATTTTTACACTATTCCATTTCCCTGCTTCTGGTTTGTGAAACACTGTTGACCAGGATCGTTCAGTTCTGAACACAGAATGAGAAACATGTGAGTGAATGATCACAAGACCAGCTATCCAGCTTACAAAATTCCCAGGGGTGATTTAGTGTAAGCAGGATCAGAGGTTCTGGCTATCTCTCCAGAATTAATCAGATTAACTTTTCTCCTGGTGCCATGATCTCACTTGGAAATCTGCTGTTTATAATAAAGCTCCAAGCTCAAATGAAATTGTTTCCAAGGGTACTTGTTTGTATGCTATGCTAGTAACTGTAATGTAACTTTGAAACTGCAATGAAGTAAAATAATCATAGATCTTGACTACAATATAATATAACAATTTTTTTAATTCTGTGTGTGTGATCCACAAGAAAACTAGGAACAGCATTCCATGCAAAAAAAAGGTCAGAAGAAGTGCAAATCATAACGATGTATCATTGACATATACAACCACCATTAATTTTCTAAAAACTCATAATTTCTACCTTTTAAATTGAAACTTAACTGTGTGTTTAGTCGGTCATGTCTTGTAAATGTATGAAGGAGGAAAATTAGTGGATTAAAAAAAAAGAAATCTGCAGCACAAATTAAAAACGACTCACAAGACTCACAAGCAATCGCTTGTTTAGTCAAAGTAAAATTTTTAAAAGCTTTTGTATTACAGTGGGTCATTTTATACTGTAGACCAAGATACCTCAGCTTTCAGTTTGCCTTTAATTAAATGCTCAAAGTCTGTATCCTCAACAGATAAAGACGATACTGTCAAAATATATACTTTTTTTATATAACCATTGACAAGATTCAGTCATAGCATTCATTGCAATTGCTACTGATCTGAACCTGTATTTTGCTGTTGATTTAAAAATGTATCTTAGAAAAATAAAAACAAAGAACACTTTGTGAGTTATGATGTGACACAATCTACACATTACATCATGTAACACATTGGTGGAAGATGTATGTCTTTTGGACAAACACTGCCTATTGAAAGGTAACCCTGGACCAAAATTATTAGCATCCTTGGGGATGAGATGGGATAAGTCAATGACTACCACTGATGTATCCATTGGTATATTAATGTGGAAAGCTCTGAGCAGCTGTAAAAACTATATAATGTAAGATTCATGTGTGGCTGGACAAGAGTTGAAAAAATGCTATAGAGGAATAGCACAGTCCATTTCATTTAGGTAATGATTGTCATGGGTGATATTCTACCGATTAGGCTGGAGGGTTGATTCACAGGACCAGACACATTTTTCTTGCAGCTGCAGTTCAGTATGCAGCTGCTGAAATCTAACTGAAGCCTTTCATTCAGTGGGGATTTCTTATGTAATCTAAGGCAGATTTATCTTACTTTGACCCTCTGCTTTTTGAAAATGACAGTCTGAGGTTTTGACTGACAATGTCCCTCAGGACCTGGCAAGAAATGAGCCAATAGTAATTTGTAAGATTATCCTTTCTGAGGAAAGTTTATTTTGCCTTCCTGAACTGTAAGTTTATTCTTGCACAATTCCTGAAATATCTGATTTAGCAATTTCTTCATGACTTCAGAATTCAAAGACATGATTAAGTAAAGTTTGTCTTTATTTGATTTTTTTGTAAAACTATTTCCAAAATTTATTTATAGATTTTCAGAAATGTTCAAAATATTAAACATTTTAATTGATAAAAATAAAAACTTGTGTTCAAAAGGAACAAAAAAAAAATAAAGTAATTTGAGCAAACTGACCTCCAAGGTCACTGTGAGACAAATTGTGATCTCCACTCAACCTCTTGAAAAGCGACCGCATCACCTTGGCACTTCCGAAGCGCTTGAAACGTGCACGTACATTCTCATGGTACCACTCCAAAGTACCAATTTTGAGAACCCTGAAAGGGAGAGTACAAACCAAGGCAATGAGAGAAAAACAGTGTGGTAGGTCAAATGTCCAAACAACAAAGTCTAGATATATGTTGGTCTATCTTATTAGGATGACATTGAGCACTGAGCGACCACTGAGTCTCGTTCCGCAGAAGGATTTTTCCTCTTTTCACAGTTGCCTAGTTCACATTGAGGACGTGGAACTGGAGACATGGGACTGGATGATTGAAGTAATGCTTTGTAGCAATCTGTGGATTCCTTAAGTAGGCACAGTTTTACTTTCTTTGGCTCTGGATTAAATGGAACTGTTTAGGCTATGAAGAGATTTGGTTTAACTGTGATTGCACAACAATGAATTTGATTCGAATTGATTTGAACTGCATTGAAAGTCCTTGGTGAGAACTAATTCCTAGCATATTCCATTTGCTGTGATAATGCACTACATAAATAAAACTAAGACTGATTTAAAATACTTCACATTTCAATAAAAGAAGAGGTTGACATTTCATCCTTTGTTGAGATATTTCAGCATTTATGCTAGCGATTTTACACACACACACAAACACACACACACACACACACGCACACGCACGCACGCACGCACGCACGCACGCACGCACACACACACACACACACACACACAATAATTTCCTACCTTGCCATATGGCAGGGATCACACACCCAACCTTGTTCTTTCTTGTTATAGCGACTGCAGGACTTGCAGATATATAAACTGCAGTCCAAACACTGTCGCTTGATGTTCACCAGGAACACAAATGCCTGAAGACAACGAATGCAATGAGACTCCGCAAGACTGCTTTGATTCCCCAACAACTCTCTCTTGATGTCCTCCTTCGCAATCTTGGTTTTTAGTTCCCTGAAAACAGATGATAATAAAATTAGTTTTACTTACTGCTGTGCAGCCAATTGGCCAAGAAAACTACCAATTGTGTTATTGTCAAATACAACTGTCTAAAATATACAAGGGGCCTTTGCTTTTTGGCTAATTCACTCAAGTAAACGTTAATAATTCTACTACGTATTTAAAAAAAAAACTGAGGTAAAAAACTGAATATTACATACAGAATTGTTTTTGTCGGTGAAAAGGCAGACCACATGATAACAAGCCCTCAAGAATTTCAGAACTGTGATCTCACAATGTATCCATTTACAAACTTTTATCTGCTTTTGCAAGGTTGGGACAAGATTCTGGAAGGCAACCTTCTTGCCAGGATTCTAGTTCCAACTGGGGGATCCCTAGAGGTTCCCCGGTCAGATCTGCTATGGGGCCACCTTCCAGTAGGAGGTAGGCAAGTAAGAGGTACAGTGAAGCAACCTGGAGAAATTCTAACACATGCCTGAGTCACCCCAGCCAAAGGGAAGACTTGAGAGAGCCCCACCATGCCTCAAACTGAGTCCCACCATGCCCAGAGATTAGCGTCTCGAGATGAATCTCATCCACCGCCAGTGCTTTGGTACTGGTGAGATTTATGACAAAATTAAGGACTTCTGCCATAGTGGTGGAAAAATTCTCAGGGTATGTCTCCTTGATAATGGACGTGACAGTCAGATTGAGGAGATCCTCAAAGTGTGCATCACTAATAATGTACTCGGTTTGGGTCAGTTCTTCTCCACCCATGTCATATACAACATTGTATAGCCCTTATTTCCCCCATCTGACTGATCAAACATTTTCCCAGAACATCCTTAAGACCTTCTGTAAGGTCTCCTTTGATTCCTCCAGCATTTAAATTTTCGCTTTTGCATCCACTGAGGTTGCAGGCACTTTTAGGTACTCGGTACCCACGTGCTTCTTCAGGTGAACCCTAGGAAAAACCAAACAAGAAAAATCTCTTTCTTCAGCTTTACAGCTTTTTCACCACTGGCATCTGTAAAAATAATTAAAACTAAAAAAGTATATATTTTTATCCGAAACGTCTAATCATACAGAGAGAGAGACAAGTTTTATATGTCCAAATAAATCTGTGTTTCTTATAGGTAACTTGTGTCTTCTTCTGGAGGATTACATGGAACAGAATTCAAGACTTTGGACACATGGCATCAAGGAACTGGTGGTAACTAAGGTTTTTTAAAAGATAACAGAAAATACAGAAACAATAGATTACCTAAACACAACTAAGAAAACACAAAGACAAATGCCAAAAGATTATCATGGATGATACAATGAAGGCCAGGAATGACATAATTGAAAAAAAATGGACGTAAAACACCTAAGGAAGATGAAAAACTCTTGTATTCAGGACAGGCAGAGACCTGACATAGAATACTTATGGTTTGAGAGAGGAGTAAATGAAGTAGAGGCCTTCTATAAGATTTTCTTGAATTCCTATGTCAATATATAAAAAAAACAACTTAGAATAGAAGAGGGAGTTTTTTGTGTCATCTTTCCAACACTGACAATGGCTATAAAAGTGCCTTTTATAGCCAGTCACATCTATGTGACCAAAACTTGGCAGTGCAGACAGTTTAACAATCCAGAAGTGATGATGATGCTTACATTTGCCTAGGTTCAGACTGTCACAACTCTTTCTACTTATGAGCTGATACTCCTCAACATGTTATTTTTGGATAACTGGTGAAATGCCCTCAGAATCTTCCCTAATCAAGCTCTTAGGATGTCTATTACCTGGATGTGAATATATACACCATCATATTTCTGCCTAAATTAATATATACACTAAAGACTACTAAGATAAAAAAAAAGAATATCAAAGTGATGTGTATTTGAGTTTGATAAAAAATCTAATCTTTGATAAATCTTTATCTATTGAAATATGATAATAACATTTGGTGTAGGATGTATTTTTTGAGAAAAATGAAAATACGGAAAAAAAAACAATCTCCCAATATTTTGTGGATTTGATAAAGCAACACAAAGTCCAAATAGCTGCCAAACTATCTCACTGTTCCAGTATGTGCAGTTTCATAAGATTACAGTGTAGGCAGTTTTATATGTAAGCCACATGAAGATCTGTGTCTATTTAAATATTGCAGAGGCCCTGGATGAAAACAACTTGCCTGAGAGACAGACAATTTGAATGGAAAACAGATAACCAAAGAAGACACTTGGGATGCAACAGCAACTTTAAAGGCTAAAATTGAAGAACATGTTGTATTCTTACTTCATGTATCTGTTGACATCTGTCTCTGTCTATTTGGCAATATGTGGAAGTTTAGTTTTACAATAAACTTTAGTTCTTCTCAATCACCTGGTTCACTGTAATTTTAACCCACAAATGGATCTTTTCTCATACCCCCCAAACCCAGTCCAAAACCAGGTCATGACATTAACCACTTTCAACTGCTGTACCACAGCCACCTGCAGAGCTCATGGTAATCTTGACTTGTCCCCAACAGAGAATGTGAGGAAAACTTCCAATGCAGCATGATTTGTGTCCAGCTTATATGTAATGGGCCAAAAGAGTTCTGAAAACACACTTTCATAGTTTAAATGTGTCAAAATGTGAAATGCATTTTCTGACATGTGAAATGTAAAAAAAGCTCTCCAACTGCAGATTTTTTTTCAATGGTAGCCTTTATCCAACTCACTCACAAAAGTCTGTCATACATGTACAAGTATCCATGTGCATATATACATGTATATATGTATTTTTTTTAAACATTTAAAAACATAATCTTTTTATTTTATTTTACATACCCAAGTCTTTCCTCCTCCTTCTTCCTCAGGTCAAAGTCTCTCTGGACAACCTCCCACACATGTTTGGCTTCATCATCTGTAAGTCTGGAAAGGTCCAGCTTTTTGCCTGAAGATGTACCAGTCATTGTGAAGTTCATAACTGGAAGCAGTTTTGTGGTTTCTATTGGGATACAAAGGTATATATTAAGTATTGATTTGCAATCATTTAACATATTTTCCATGTTAATTACGTACATAGTAGATGTAATAACTCAATAATGAATAATGATAAGAATAATGGATTATATAAGTGGGTCCCAGGAGTTCGAGTATCTCAAATATCTGTTAGTGAGTGATAGCAGGTTGGAAGAAGACATAAGCAGAGAGATAGGAACATTAGAGCAGAAATAAGAGTGCTTCTTTGATCCGTTGTGGCAGATTTACTTGCCCATTTTTGCTCCCACTCATAACTATGGTCATGAAATCTAAGCTAAATCTGAAAGAATGAGGTCAAAGTTATGAACTGCTTTAGGTCTTGAATTGGGGATCCTCTTGGTGTGTAAAAAGCCCTATCTCAAATATCTAAATTTAAAAATAGAGAAGAGCTAAAAATGAGAGTGGTTCACAGACAAAAAAGAGTGAGTGCCTGTTTGTTTAATTCAGTGCTTATTTCCCAACTAAATTGTACCTGCAGATCTCCTGTGCGTGATTCCTACCACCTGGCTTGATCTCTCACCCAAAACCCATTCAGGAAGTGAGAAGTACCAAACCTCCTAGGTCAATCAAGAACCCATTGTCTAGGGAAGAGTTCCGATTTGGTTTCTGTCTGCTTCCCAGGAGGTGGTCTCAACCCGGATCAATCATTTGCACAGAACAGCTGCATCTGCTTGTGGAATCAATTCCACAAAACAGCTGTTCTGCTTGTGCATGAGAAAGAGGGTAATACACTAAGCGGCAGCCTTTGTGTGCAGCCTTTCACCTTTGAAGACGTAATTTGTTAAAGAAGTCCATGCCTTCCAAAGCATGTCCACCGAACGGGGCAGGTAAAGTACTCTATCTCATCCTGAGCAGACATTGTGTAAGTAACTCATTAAAAGTTACTCCTCTACAGCTCTCAGACCATTACTTTATTCAGCTTCATGCATGCCTCCATCAGGGGCCCACTGCACCCCCTCCCAATGTCTGCTTCCGAAGCAATCTGCGCAACCTGTCTCCTGCCCACCTCTCTGCTCTTGTGACTTCTGTTCCTGCTTGGATCACTTGTGCCCCCTGACTACCAGATCTGCAAGACCCCGGCAGTGACACTAATGGCTTACCGACTCCCTCAGATCAATGCACACTAACCTCAGAGCGATAAAGTGAAGATGACACAAAACCAAAGACTCATCAGATCTTTCACATTTCCAAACAATGGTCTCATCCTTCTCATCAAGCATCACCACTGTAAAAAAATAGTTCTACCAGGAAAAAATCCACAATGCTATCTACTTCCGGAAGCTGTTTTCAACCCACAAACCTCTGTTAAACCCTCCATCTCCACCTCCTGCAACCAACTTCACGGCAGATTCATATTGCCACCTTTTTCACCGAAAAGTGCGACTATCAGCGGTCGGTTCTCTGACCTATTTACACAGCCCCCAGCTCACTCTTCCTTACTGGTCCTTCCTCTGAGTGCTCCCGAACATACAACCTCCTTCTCTGCATTTACTCCTCTCACAGAGGATGAGGTATCAAAGCTGCTCAAAGCCACCTTACATCCTGCCCACTGGAGCAGTCACTCACATGATCACTGCTTCAATATCTATAGGACATTCCCTACTTCCTTCAAACAAGCTCAGGTACGTCCACTACTCTAAAGACCCTCCCTTGCCCCCACTTAAGTGAAGAACTACCAACTGGTCTCCCCCCTTTCCTTCCTGGCTAACCTCTTTGATTCTAACCAATCCAGCTTCAAGAGTGGCCACTCCTGTAATTAACAGAGTCCTTGAAAGAAGCCAAAGCGCCAGACCAATCCTCATCCTGCTGGACCTATCAGCAGCATTTGATACTGTAACCACAGCATCCTTCTAAATAGGCTGGCAGACATTGGCATTGAGGGCATTGCACACTCTTGGTTTGAATCCTACCTAACAGGATGATTCTTAAAAGTGTCATGGCAAGGCCAAACACTGACGTGACACTGCCTAACCACAGAGGTGCCCCAAGGCTCAGAGCTGGGTCCCCTCCTCTTTACAGTATACACCACTTCACTGAGCCCGATCATCCAGTCACATCCAGGTTTCTCCTATCATTGCTATGCAGACGACACCCAGCTCTATATGTCTTTTCCTCCAGATGACCTCTCAGTACCAACGTGAATCTCAGACTGTCTTTCTGATATATTTGCATGGATGAAAGATCACCACCACAAATTGAATCTCTTCAAAACTGAACTGCTTGTGATGCCAGCCAAGCAAACTATTTTCCACAATATCAGCATCAGGTTAGACTCACTATCCCATTTGGTTTTCAACCAGACGAAGAGAGCACATGTCAGACCTCTATTTACTGAACTCCATTGGCTTCCCTTTGCTGCTTGCATAAAATTCTAATCCCTGATGCTGGTGTCACGTCTGGGGGAATGTCTGGTGTGTTGTCATGTCTTCTTGATTACCTATTGTGTACACCTGGGGTTCCCTTCCCTCGTGTGTTCAAATAGTCCTCGTTTCCCCTGTCCTGTGCCAGTGTGTTTTTGTCTTTGTGTCTTTTGTTCCTCTGCCAGTGTGTTTTGGGGTTTTTGCTGCCTTTGTCTTTTCGTTTCTTGTCTTGCCCATGCCACGTAAGATTTTGATTTTTGCACCTTGTCACAGTCTTGTTTTTGCCACAGTCTTTTTTATCTTGTTTGGATACTTTTGCCATAGTCTTGTTTACTTTATTTAAAACTTTATTCATAGTCTTGTTAACCTTGCTTTGTTACTTTGTTCATAGTTTTGTCAGCCTTGTTTCGTACTTTGTCTGGTCAACCACTCCTTTTGAGTGCGTTTTTTGTTAAATAAATCCTGTTTTGACCCTGACCTCCGCAACTTAGTCCTCCCTAAGATCCACCATCCTGATAGCTGGCCTACAGAGTGTTTGATGTTGAAATGTAATGTAGAGTCACCAGATTTGATTTCAGAACAATACCATGGAGATGTGCCTGAATTGATGATATATGCAAGAATCGCACCATACAGTGGTGTTAACATGTACAAACAATTTGGGAGGTAATTTCACAGAATCCTCTATCTATTCACTTTCTACACTGCTTATTCCCAATGGGTTCTTGGGGGGCTGGAGCCTATCTTGGTTATCCTGGAGAGGTCGCCCGTCCATCCCGGGGCAACACAGAGGCAATCAACTACACACACTCACATTCACTCCTAAGGGCAATCTATTTGACCTGTCATAAATTAGATTCATACATTTTTGTAAGGAAGCCAGAGAGAGAGAACACACACAGACACAAGGAGAACATGCAAACTCCACACTGAAAGGTCCGTGTTTCCCCAGGGATTTGAACTAGGAACCCTCTTACTGTGCCAGTGCATCCATCATGCAGGACTATGCAAGAGTATCAACATGGTATTTAAATGTTTACAGCAGTCAGTTTGATTGTCTTCCAATCGCATTGGGGAAAGGAATCCATTTGAACAAAAAATTTTGTTTTATTGTAGTGTTTTTAATTTAAAAATAGTTTAAAAATGCAACTCACTGGTTTCTGTTTTTATTTAAAAACAATCACAAATCTGATGCAAAAGGATGGGATTCTACTAAAAAGGGGTATAAACTATGCACAAGTTTAAACTCTGTAACTCACCCATGCGTTAGCAAAAGAGACCTCATTCAGACTTTAAAAGACTCGGAAAAGGCGAATCTTTTACAGGATAAAGGGCTTTCTGAATTAATTAGCAGTTTCGACACAATGGCTGTTTAATGAAAGGTTTGATCCTGAAAGTCCTACACTCTCGTGAGGTGATGTCACTAACACAAACTTCAGATTCTGTAGATTAATCAGTGACATTTCAAGTTAACTTCACTCACATCCACAATGCTCCCTGTACCTATTACACATCAAAGCTTATGGATTTTGTCTTCATTTACCCAACCACACAAAGCAGGTTTCTCATTGATATCTATATATGTTCTTTATAAAATGTTCAAGTTGTTCACTATAGCTGTGTTTAAAGTTAGATTTAATGTTGTACTATTGTACTAATGTCGCTTTTGATAAAAACGTCTGCTAAATGCATAAACATAAATCTTGGGCCAGCAGTCTCGACATTGAATTAAAATAATTTTTGGACCCCAGGCTTCAAACTTCAAGGCGTAAGCACATAGCTGTCTCAAAGTAATATAAGTAAGATAATTCATAAATAAACATTCCTATTTACTAAGTTATTTACCAATACTAAATTTAATCTGAACATATTTTTCCGCTTAATGATCAGCAGTTGAAATGTGGGCCATTCATCATCCTTGATCAAGGGCCAGCCCAAATTAGGCATGGAGAGATCCATATAAAAGAAGACATGTGATAGCCATGTGTGGTGGATACATGGACAATTTTAGGTGCCCACAGCCACTGCAGTTCAAGAGCAAACATTACAAACACAAGCTATATATGATGTAAAACATACTCTTTCACTGTCAGCAAATGTCACTGACCTGCATGAGAGAAAAAATTGGGCAAAGGAATTTTTGGGAACATCACATAATCTTGTTTTCCACAAGCCATGTGAAAAGGGAGAGAAAAAAAGAAAATGGAAATCATTTGGCAGCCTAATCTAATTACTACTTCTACAAGTCAGCTCCAGTGGTAAAAAGGCACACTGGGAATCATAACACAAGTCAATGGCGGACTGTGAATGATAATCTTATCTATCAAACTAAAGAAAATGTTTCTCACATTTTCCCACAGTTAGATCATTCACAAATATTGTTCAACATTTGTTTTTTTAGTAAGTGCATGCAACCTCATATTCCAGAATCTGTCTTAAGAAGACAAACAAAAGTTCCTGGAACCTTTCTTTTCAAATTAAAAACTTTTTTTTTTCAAAGGGAACTCAATGGAGAAGCTCCATGCACATCAATATTGCATTTGTAAAACTTTGTCGTTTAAGAAACACCAAGTAATACAAGATGAAGCATGGAAAAAGTATGACTATCAGCTCATTAAAAC